GGCTACGAGTGTTCGACGAGTCTTGCGAGCTGCGCGGTCAAACCTGGGGGGGACTGACCGCATCAAGGCGGACTTCCGAAACCTGGGTGAGCACCTCTGGCAGTTCTCGCTCCCCATCGAGCTCTTCTTGCCGCACGGCTCTTCTGTGCGTATGATCTATGAACTCGGGGGCACAACAAAACGCGGTACAAACGGGGTAAACCAAAAGGCACGGGCTGCCTGCACGGCGTTCACTCGAACGCCATGCACATGGCGCGCATCGGGTTGGTGTCGAACCCGAGCGGGTCCTCCTTCCAATCCCGGCCCTTCGCCGCGTCGTTTTGCTCCTCGGGAAAGAAAAATAAAAATCACACCGGCGTTGTATTGATCGGCAAGAGACACCGCTCTTTATACTCGTTTATTCACGAGGCGACCCCAGGGAACCGTGGGCTGTGAATAAACAGGTTTCCTAGTGGCGTGCTGTGAATAAACAGCGAAGAAGACGCTGGGCAGGAGAGGAGCAAGGCCACCTTTGGGTGCGACTCACAACTTGCGCGGCGCCCGACTCCCCCGACATATATGCGCGCTGCAGCCTCGGCCGGCATCGCGCGCGAGGACTCGCTCCAGTCGGTCTCCAGCGCGCTGCTCGCGCTCCTCGACGAGGGGCCGGCGCCCGACCCGGATGCCGGCGAGGTCCTCTCCTTTGACGGCCACATCGAGGGCGCCTCGTGCAGGCTGACCCCCGTGCGATGCGGCCTGCACGACGACATGCTGACTGTTCGCCCTGGGTGCAGCGGCAACCCGCTAGCCCTGACGCGCTCGTACACGTTGTGCGACTCAGAGTGGATCACGGGCTTCCTCCCGTACTTCATCACCACCTATGAGACCGGCGAGGTCGAGTGGGATGGAAAGGTCTTTGAGATGCCACTACTGCACGCGTCAGGGCGCCAGGCTTGGTTTCGGGTCACGGTCTCGGTGGACAGGGGTGACCCGAGCGGCTTCCGTGCCGTTGCTCGCTCCATCAGCCCCGACGTGTGCTTTGCCTCATCGCTGCAGTCGTCGCTGTCGTTTGGCGCCAGCCTCGACGGCCGCGAGTCGCCCCTTTCCGTCAGCCTCGGGGAGGATGCGCCCATGGGGTGGAGTCTACTGACCATCGAGTCGATTGTAGAGGCCACCGTCGGATCCTCGAACGCTCCGGGCCCCGCGGCCAAGGCCGGCTGGTCGGCGGAGGAGGATGAGATCATCATGCGCGCCGTCTCGAAGATCGGGACCATCTGGAGGAAGATCGCCTTGATGCTGCCTCCCTTGAACGACCGCGGCGACCGCCGCACCAATCACGCCGTTCGCAACCGCTGGCTGCGGCTTGAGAAGCGGAAGGACAAGGAGCCGGCAGTTTGCGATATTCCTCTTTTGGGAGCGGCACCGGCATCGGCAGACCGAGGCGGCGACATGTGGTCGCCACAGGAGGACAAAGCCATTGACGAGGGGGTGCGAGATGGCCTCTGCTGGAAGGCCATCGCCGCCACGCTCTGTGGCCGCTCCGCCAGCTCGTGCCGTAGCCGCTGGCTGCGGGAGCGGAAAAGGCAGCTTGCTGCAATGGGAGTGGCGGCGAAGAACGCGGGCGAGATCTTTGCAGAGTCCCGCCGCATCGGGCTCCACTTGCCCGATCGATCCGATAAGAAGGCGGGTGCCGCTGCGAGCGGGCCGCCGAGCAAGGCTCTGATCCCGACGCCGGTCGCGATCGACACGGCCGTGACGCTCAGCAAGTCCACGGGCAGCCTCTCGCAGATCGCAGAGTACATGACCAGGCTGCTCGCCTTGGGGTGCAGCGGGAAGCCGCTCACCGACCGGTATTCGCTGCTGTTTGCCGTCCACGTCGTGATCGACGTCGCCGAGGCGCAAGACTGCCACGGCCTGAATGCCTTTGCGATGCAGTCGGCGTGCCAGCTCGGCTTCCCATTGAGCGCCGTGAAGCCCAAGGAGGGGCCGATTACCTGCTCCTCGCCGCTGCGAGTCGCCGTCCCAAACGCCGTCTCAGACCTCTTCTACTCGCCCTGCATGGTCAGCGTGCGTACACTGTCGGGCTCCAACCTCGAGGCGAGGCGGCTCGTCGACGATGTGCTCGGGATGCACGACGGGGCGGGCGCGCAGCAAGGCCCAACCCCGAACCAGCACTTTGCCGAGTACGTGACCGCGCTCGGCGGCGACGGGATCCCAGACCTGTGGTCCAAGCCCGGCAAGCTCCTCGAGCTCTTCTTCGATAACGTCCCCGATCGCCAGCGATTCGCGCGTCTGTTCTCTGAGGCGCTGAGCGCCCCGCTGACGCCGATCGACTCGTTGTGCAAAGTCGGCCAGACGCAGGCCGACAGCCCTTTCATGCTGGCGCTGAAGCGGGACAGCAAGTATGTCCACGCCCTCTCGGCGCTGGGAGTCCCACTCTCGCCGGGGGACGACGACTCCGAGGTGGTCGTTCCTCACACGGCCTTCATCCGGCGCTGCGTCACGAGCGCCGCCACCTTTGTGGTGCACGTGCTCTCGCCGTTCGGGCCCGGCGGAGCGGGGCGCTTCGACTTTGAGATCGACAGCCTCGTGCAGCGCAAACGCCTCCGAAGGCCTTCGATAGAGCGCGCCTACGACGAGCCGGGGACAGACCGCACGGCTCTGGGCAGCAAGGCGGCGAGGGTAGACTCCTCTGGCAACACCTGTACGCCTCCCCTGCGCACCGACGTCACGCTCATGGCGTAATCTCTGCGGACTGCGCTGTCGGGCTACGCTCACCCCTCATGGGAGGCGTCACATCCCGCGGGCTGCGTTGTCGGGGTCGCACCGCGCCGGGCCATACGCATCGGCAATGTGTCTATTGCAATAGAGCCGTTCGCCGCGGCACCCCTCATGCCTCAATCTCGTCTTCTCGTGACAGCGAGTAGAGAACCGTTCCTCTCTAGCTCTCTTATCTGCCCGAGGCGCGGCACAATCTGCGCAGGTATACCTAGCTTAAGTGTGCAGTCTCGGTGTACACTGATGTTTATTGCGCGTTAAATCTCAGACAAGAGATTTCAATTAATATGGCCCGACAGATTCCGAGTACCGAGAATCAGACACGTCAGAGACAGACCAGACACAAAGTGACTTCACTCAAGGCACTGCAACAGACGGCGGCATCAATAATCAAAGTACGGGAAGGGAAAAGGAAGGGACTTGAGGCGGAGAGGAAGGAACGAGTAGCCGCGGAAACAGAACGCCTGAAAGAGGGACAGAAGGAAAGGAAGGAGAGGATACGAGAAATGGAGTGGGCGGCGAATGCGTGTATTTGCTGGCGACGGAGGCGACATCGACAACGTGAGGCCGAGGAGAAGGTAAGGGAAGAGGCAGAGAGACGCCTCGAAGCGGGGAGAGGCAGAACGACGAGAGCGATGGGGATGACACTCAAAACGACCCACTGCGAGCTCGAAGGCGAAGGCCAGCGCAGGAAACGCGGTGACAGGAGCGACGATGCGGCGAGCGCCGGAGGGAAGCGACGACAGCGAGGGGACGAGGACGACGAGCAGAGAGGAGAACAGACGGCGAGCGGCGCACGCGAGGGCGACCACGCAGGAGAAAACAGACGGGGCGAGGGGAAGGAAACGCGGCCCGCCAGGAAGCGAAGGCAGACGGCAAGATACGTCGCCGGACCAGCGACAGGAAGCGCAGGAAAACAAAAAGAACAAGACGAGGAGCATGGAGACGAGGGAAGGCGCGAGGCGCTCCGCCAACAAGCAGCAGAGGCGACGGCGAAAGTAACGACGGCCATGCTAACGACGGGCGGCACGGTGGTAGGGGCGAAGGTAGGCCCCTCTAGCATAGCGGAAGGGGAACTCGGCCTACTGGCGACGAGGAGGCTGGAGAAATTCGAGGTGTGTAGCATCTACACTGGGGAGATCTTCCGGACAGGAACGGCGCAGCCACCAGAGACAGTACCAGACGAACTGTCACGACACACGGCAGCAGGGGGGACGCAGCTGGATGGAAGTGACGACGAGAGCGGGGACGACTTTGACAGCGTCGCGGCGCGCCTGGGAGAAATTAATTTCGACTGGCCTGCAGCATCGAATGAGCCGAAACGAGGCACGAGGGCGACGCACTTCGTACGCTACGAGGAGATACAATTAGGCAAGGCAGCTGCGCAGGTGATGGTCCTGTTTGCAGAGAGAGGAGTCAAGGAAGGCCAAGAAATCACATGGTCATATGGGGACTCATACAAGAGCCACCGGGTCCGCAA